TTCACGAAGCCTTTTTTGGTCTGGGTTACCTGGTTTGTAACCCGGTGTAAAACGGTAATGCATTGGTTCGGTTGGAAAGATGTTTGAACCAGGGTTAGTGTGTTTTAGGAAGGAATGTGAAGGAATGCTAGATGTTTGGGGCAGGAGTTAGTTGTTGCAGGAATGTCGGAGTGGTGTCGGATGTTGCATGAGCAAGGAGATGGAGAGCACTAGGGCGTTAGTGTTCAGCCGGCTTGAATGGTGCTACGGTTTGTGTAGCACTAAGTTACGGCGAAACGTTTGGAAGAGACGAGAGTGTTTTGGAATTGTCTGATGCTTCAAGGAGAGGGTTTCCGAAGAACCTTGAGGTAGCGATTGGAAACACTGTGGATTATTCATGACAGCAGAGACAGATAGTGCGGGCTTGCGAACAGGAGAGTATTTCGCTGCAAGGGAAGATATTTGTATATATAGGACACCTCCGACAACGTAGAAAATATAAGGACCAACATTGACTCTCCCCCGAACATAGCCTATTTTATTAGTCGAGTCAGGAGCTGTAAGTTTCAGTCTATAACTTCAGGTTTGGCGTCAGTGGTGCATATTTCTGTTGTGATCAGACGGGCCGGGGTGGCTCGACATTTCCGTCGTGTCTGTAATATCATACCGTTGCCCAAGTCAAGTCTCTCAAGGGTTTTCTATATATCACAATACTGGGTCGACCAGCAGCGCCTGGTAGGTTCACGGTGAGTTATGATATCATACCGCACCGTGTCGTATTATACCCCATTGTATCATACCGTAGGTTATGTAAGACCTACCCCAGAACCCCAAACTTGGAACTGAGAGTGACGGTCTGTGGCGGGGTTATGAAGTAACCTAGCGAGTTGGTGATAATCAAGTTATGATACTTGCTCGGAAAGAACAATCCCCAAGTGTAGCATTGTGAGGGGGCAGGCTGGATCTGTTTTAAGTTTAATTTTTCACGTACTATACCTATCACAGTTCTGTTTATGTTTCGTGGTAAAGCACGATAGGAGGGAGTATGGTCAGTATCATGGAAATTGCTCACCAGAGATTTACTCTGCTGTCTCGCATAGTTTGTTTAATGGAAAACCTTGGATATCGAATTATCCAATGCTCCGATACAAGGCTATTCGTTACAACATTTAGCGACTCTATGGGCTACTACTTAGGTTATCCATCGAACGGCATTTAGTTTTCATAAATTTACCCTCGGTCACTATAAATATAGCGTATGGTAAACGATTCAACCTACTCTAAGGACGCACTTTCCGAGTACTGACTGTCCTTGGCGGTCTCGATAATATCGAAAAGCACGGAGAAAATCTCCACAGAGCCCTGTAAGTGGTTTCAGGAAGAACTTACCGGTCTACAATATATGAACACCAAGAAGAGTCATGTTGTAATACTTTAAGTTAGGTGATATGTAAAGCTTTCGACTAATTCCTCGATAAGGTTTGTGCAACTTGCGTATAAAGTCGCACCTCGCTATCCCGGACGCTCAAAATCTGAAGATTCCGTCCGGCACAGCGAGGGATCCGGGACAACTGGTCAGGCTTTGGTGGAAAGAAATTCGGAGCTCACTGAGATTTATACGGTACTGTACCAGGCAACCAGGGATCCGGATTATCGTGAAACCCAGACAGCGAGGTATAAGCGCACACCAAGCTAAGTCGATTCCACCGCACCCCCCCCCTAGGATGTCCACTCATCCACCGCAGTGCAAGATTTGTGGATACGGCATTTCCAGCTCCCGATGCGGGTCGGAACAAGCAGGGTGTTGTTGGCACAAATTTGGGGAGGCTGAGTGTCCCGAAATATCGAGGTTCCACAAAAACCCCGCTTTTCTTCAGCCCCTCGGGACCGCAGTAGCCGACTGATTCCCTTATCCATCATCTACAATATCCTACCTGCAAAAAAAGAGAAAATGTCCCAATCTTTCAATAATAATATCAACTCTTTGAACACCGTGACGACGACGGTTAACGTGTCGAACAACTTTACTATTGGCGATGACCAATCTAATATCCTAGCCTGGCTATCCCCACTGGATCCCAGGTTGCGACATCAAGACATTCGAGACCGCCGAGTCGAAAATATAGGGGAATGGCTTTTACAAGCAGAAGAATTTAGAAGCTGGTGTGCCGGTATTGAGAGTGGTGAAGCCGATAATGCAGTTTTGTTTGGCTATGGAGATCCGGGAGTGGGCAAAACCTTTATTAGGTAACAAGGACTTATCTCAAAGAATGGGAAAAGGATGTGAAAGTGCTAACAAGCCGCGGTGTTAGCTCATTGGTGATAGACAGCTTGTGCGATCAGGCCCAAGGACAAGATATTGCAGTTGCGTGTTTTTATTTCGACTTCGCCGGGCAAAAGGAGCAGTCACCGACAGGTATGCTAGGAGCCCTGCTCAAACAAATCGTGAGCGGGCTAGGGGAGGTACCGGGAGAAATAGCGAGGGCCTATGAAGACCAGAAAAAGGTCATTGGTGGACGGGGGCCGCTGCTTACCGATATTGTGAAGATGCTACAGACCACATCTTCCGAGAAGCGCACATTCATATGCATCGACGCACTAGACGAGTGCGTGGCAGGATATCGGATCAAAGTTCTCCACTCTCTACACCAGATCCTCCAAAAGTCCCCAACCACTCGAATATTTGTGACCGGAAGACCGCACATTCAGCCTGAGATTGGGAAGTGTCTTTCTGGAAGAGTAAAGACTATATCCATCACTCCCAGGAGAGGTGATATCGTCAGTTATCTCCGTACCAGAATGGATGAGGATACAACCCCAGATGCCATGGATAGTACTCTGGAGGCGGACATCCTGAAGAAAATTCCTGATGATATTTCCGAAATGTACGTAGAAGCAACGACACTAAAGAGGCCACTTCAAGTCATCCACTGACATATAAATGCCTAGATTCCTACTAGTCTCGCTCAATATCGATGCGATCCTCCAAGAAACCACAATCTATCGAAGGAGACAAAAGCTTAATATGATGACAGATGGTTTGGGACTGGGGGATGCTTATGGTGCAACTCTGAGTCGGATACGGGGACAGGGTGGGGGGAAAGCGAGGCTTGGGATGGCCGCTTTGATGTGGATCTCACACTCGGAGAGGCCATTGAAACCTGATGAACTATGTCACGCTCTAGCAGTCGAAATCGGGTCGCCGAACCTCAATACCGACAACGTTCCTTCAATAGGGACACTTCTAGCCTGTTGTCAGGGACTTGTTGTGGTAGACAAGGAGGCTTTCACTGTCCGGTTAATTCACTTTACCCTTCAAGAATACCTCCGGGCTCATCCCGAGCTTTTCGCCACCACTCACTCAACACTGGCAGAGACCTGCTTAAGTTATCTAAATTCCCACCAGGTCAACGCTTTTTCGCCCACCCCCTCTCCCGATTCCCAAAGCACTCCCTTACTCGATTCCCAAAGCACACCCTTTCTCGAATACTCTTCTCTATATTGGGGGACCCATGCAAAAAGGGACCTTTCGGATTGCGCGAAATTGCTTGCGCTGAAGCTATTTGACAACTACAATAACCACATATCTATTAAAATTCTCTTGGAAGCGCAGACACCGTACTATTACGCTGTTGATTTCAATAGACCCCTCCTCTTCAGTGGCCTACATTGTGCGTCTATCTTTGGAATCGTCGAGATTGTAGCTAGCTTGATAGAGATGGAAGGTTGTGATGTCACCCAAAAAGACTGCGTGGGTAACACCCCCCTCGCGTGGGCTGCTGAGAATGGGCACGAGGGGGTGGCAAAAATACTACTCAGACGAGACGAGGTCAACCCCGGTGAACGAGGTAAGTACGGCCAAACACCACTCTGTTGTGCTGCCCAGAACGGGCATGAGGGAGTCGTGAAAATACTACTCGGACGGGACGACGTCAACCCCGACAAACCAAACAGCACGGGCCAAACACCACTCTGTTGTGCTGCTCAGGGTGGGCACGAGGGAGTCGTGAAAATACTACTCGGACGGGACGACGTCAACCCCGACAAAACAGATATGAACTGTCGAACACCACTTTATTGTGCTGCATGGAATGGGTACGAGAGAGTGGTGAGTTTGCTGCTCGAACGAGACGACGTCAACCCCGACAAACCAGATAGCACTGGCCAAACACCACTCTATTGTGCTGCCCAGAGCGGGTACGAGGGGGTGGTGAAAGTACTGCTCGGACGGGACGACGTCAACCCCGACAAACCAATTAGCACGGGCCAAACACCACTTTGTTGTGCTGCCCGGAACGGGCACGAGGGGGTAGTGAAAATACTACTCGAGCGGGGCGACGTCAACCCCAACAAATCAGATAAGTACGGCCAAACACCACTCTATTGTGCTGCCTACAATGGGCACGAGGGAATGGTGAGTTTGCTCCTTGGACGGGGCGACATCAACCCCGACAAAACAAATAGCACGGGCCAAACACCACTCTGTTTTGCTGCTCAGAGTGGGCACGAGGGGGTGGTGAAAGTACTGCTCGGGCGGAACGACGTCAACCCCAACAAATCAGATAAGTACGGCCAAACACCACTCCTTTGTGCCGTCCGGAATGGACACGATGGAGTGGTGAGTTTACTGCTCGGACAGGACGACGTCAACCCCGACAAGCCAAATGGCACGGGCCAAACACTACTCTGTTGCGCTGCTCGGAGTGGGCACGAGGGGGTGGTGAAAGTACTGCTCGGGCGGGACGACATCAACCCCGATGAGCCAGATGAGTTCGGCTAAGCACCACTCTATTGCGCTGCCTGGAATGGGCACGAGGGAGTGGTGAAAGTACTGCTCGGGCGGAACGACGTCAACCCCAACAAATCAGATAAGTACGGCCAAACACCACTCTTTTTGGCCGCCGGCTATGGGAATGAGGGAGTGGTTAAATTACTTCTCAAACGGGACGACATCAGCCTCGAAAAACCAGATAATTATGGCGTAACACCACTCCAGTTTGCTACTAAGCGCAGCCATACGGGGGTGGTGTTCCTGCTGATGTCCCAGGGTCTACCTCTCCCGGAACAGCCTCACGCTGAGTATGTGTAGTCCTCCTTACCCCCTCCAAACACGCATAAATCGTTCGCCATCTCCACCACAACCTCATAAACATGTCGGTATGATACTATCATTGCCAGGCCTCCCCTCATTCCTGCCCCACACCCTCCCGCGATCTACGACCTCGCCTTGTGGTAATTGCCGCCTTTTCCTTCCTGCCAGAGCACACCTCCCCCAGAAACTCATCCGAGATATTTGCTTTTGGTTGGAGGAAATCACATGCTATAGGGATACACATACCCATCACACACCCACCCCAGCCCCTACCTAGCTTTTCTTAATGATATGAGACTGTACCAATTAAAACCTGACTCTCGGACCTCAATCTCAAAAAAAAAATTGCCTAGCCACATAGCTAGAGAGGTAATGTATATCTACAACAGCTCAAAATATCTTTCATCTCTCAACGACCTCTGTATGATAGTATATTTTATATGCAAAAATTTATGAAATCAACCTTTCATAATTATAAATGACCTCAGTTTCTTGCACACCTATAGAAAAAAACAATAATAGCTTATTCCTTGGCAGTTGTACTATTCAGCTTTAAAGTTGCGGTTTCCCCAGGGAGTATCAACATAAAAGTGAGAATGTTTTTGGTGGGGTAGCTTTCGTTGCAACGCATTTTCTCAGCTCCCAAAAAGCCGAAGAGTCCAGCTTTAATTGGTACTGTCAAGGGGAAATTCAGATTCATGTCTTGTCTAATTTAGATAACTCTGTTTGGATCATGGTAGGGGTTTTTAGGGTTTGTTCACGATGGAAGGGTTTGTTTGAGAGCTGAGAGGGAAAAAAATTTGTTGTATCATACCGTTACGTATTTTCTATCCTACCCGATACCGTTCTTTCAGTACAGGCTCATATAGAGTATGGAGTTGGTGGTGGGCTGCCTCAGTTGTATTGAGATATGCTAGTGTAGCACCAAACTCCCATCATATCTACTTTCGCTACTGTTTCACGGTTATACATAACTTAGCCTTTTCGCACCCGTGTATAACATCTCTTTTCTCCTCCCAGTGCTTTCTTCCCTTCCCCCCGCCCACACGATCTTAGACGCAAATCACCAGCACGTTACATCATTCCGAAAACAGGACTCAGGTACCGTATGATACGATTATAATGTATTCGGGGGTGCTATGGGTCAGCACCTAGCTATGGGTCAGATACTTTTACAGTATGCCAGTTATAAAAAGTGCAACTACATAATCAAGATTACTCCAATTACTCCACAATTGTCACAGTAGCTTCATAATACAATGTTGAATAAGTCCATCAAGTTTTATTTGCGAAAAATAGTTTGTGGAAAGCAGAGTGATACAAAGTGTATAATACTGTACAAGGTGCTTCAAATGCTAATATCTTAATCAGAATTAATAACATAGTTAATCTGATGCCGTGTAGAGTGACAGAGATGTCTCATAATTCTCGCCTTTGTGTTATTTCTGTCATTTTACTGTTGGAAAATGTGAGCTATTGTAATCTAAGGGTTAGGAATATAGCTTACATTTGGTAAATCAACATTATCATCACTATTCATAACATTATAACCATCAGAGCCTCCTGCTCTTCTAAATTACTATCACAGTCATCAACAACTTCAGCTTTCACCTTTACCTTTCCATTCCTTTGCTGATTGAGCTTTGCAAACTTGGCTACTTGTCTCTTCAATGATGCAGTTACCTTTTTAGCATCTAGTACTTCACACATGTGGTAGAGATAAGCCAGTTGTTTTGATTCTAGAATGAGGCCTCCCTTAAGCTGGCGATGATCTGGCTTAGTACTCTTGCTTGTAGCTTGTTGTTGGCATAGCAGCTCCTTGTTGATACTAAGTTCTGCTTCAGTTTCCTGGTGGAGTAAAAGGAGTTCATTAAAATATTACTTTATTTGAACTATAGATTCTGTTTCCTAGACATCAAGGACCTGTTTAACTAACTCATCAATCTTATTAGAGTGCTTTCTTCATCCAAGCAGTATTCTAGGTCCTGCTCAGTAAGTTCCCAAAGCTGGTGGTGTAGTGATCTTAGGTTGAAGATTTGGATCACTTAAGATTCGGTGCCAATTGAAAGGGATAAGACCAGTTACTCTCCATGCTGAGAGTATATTCTTTTTTGTAAAGGCCTTGAGTCTGGACCTCTGCAGCATTGGGTAAAAGTCCCTTTTACATAGTTTTGAATATGGTCCTACAGATCATATTCTTTCATCTACTTGTTGGAAGAATACGATCTGTAGGACCATATTCAATGTGTTGACAGGAGAGAACAGCCCAACATCAAGGGGTTGAAGAATATGAGTAGAGTGTGGAGGGAGGCAGAAGAGGTGAATGTTCTTGCTTATTGCAAATTCAATAAACTTAAAGTTCTTACAATGCGAATTGTGACCATCAAGAACTAACATTCGATGTTGACTTATTCCCTTCTGAGATCTTGTTCATGGCTCAAATATTTGGACCAACCATTCATATCTGATTTGGTACTTGGTATATCCTGTTGTAAATGAGAAAAGAAGGCATCTTGCTTTTCCTCAAACTCAATATCACTATAGTATTCCATAAGATATGACCTTGCAGGAAAGATAATATGTGGTGGTAAGGCATCTCCTATTCCAGAAATTGCTTCAATATCAATCACCCAACTGCAATCACCATCCTGAATAATCTTTGGATTTCTTCTTGATATCCGACAAATCACCTGGCCACTAGTAGTAAGTCCCAGTGCAAATCCTTTCTCAATTGAATTCCAAATATCCTCCTCCTTTACATAAAACTTACACTGAGTATTGTGGAATCTATTGAGATGGTACTCAAATGATTGAAAATCTGTAGCCAGTGCCTTTTGTTTGTCGAGTACCTTTCCAACCTCAGATTGCACTGTTGAATGACGTAGCAAAATTCTCTCCAACTAGTTCTCTCCTACTTTATCCATTTTGCCTTGGTCTTTCAAATAGCTCCTACCGTTTAAAAAACATGAGGACAGCGTGGAGGAAGGCCATAATCATTCTATTTCTCAATCGACTTGACCAATGTCTCCTCCTCTTTATTTCTGAGTAGATTCTGAGTTAGTTGTAATTGAGTTGCTAGTTTTATTCGTCCTATATATTGCTTATTTAAAGTAGTATTTGAAATACCAAAATGTTGACTCGCTTTACAAATTCAAAGTCCTAGAGTAGATTGAATTGGCTCACACATGGCTGCTATTTGCTCCTCCTGGCTAGCTTTCCTTTTAGCTATTTTGGAAGGTGATTGGATATCTTCTTTCAGAGATATGATTGAATGAAGTGAATTGTGTTTGGAGAATATAGTGGTAGAAAGTAGTGTTGGTAAATCTAATAGCTTGCTTTATAGAGTTGAGATATCTGTCCAATAACCTTTAGGACAATAGAGCGTATCCTACCCATCATGCTCGTATCAATAGTAATGGAAATAAAATAGTATTGGGGCTATTGTTGTTGACAATATACATATTATCCATAATAGTCAATAGTTTCAATAGCAAAGTCAAAAATTAAGATATTGCAAATTTTATTAAATTGGCTCAATACTAGTTATATATGATTACTCTATAGAGAGTATAACTATCATAGAAGCAATAATAGTTGTGTTATTCAAACTTCTATCCATAATTGATATGAAAAATTGGTGACTCATAGCTAGGTGCTGACCCATAGAACTCCCCAATATGTTACTAGTATCCCCTCAATCTACCTGCAAGTACCTTGTGAATGTTGAAAGTCTGAGGGAGAAGATATACACCCAACTGTAGATCTTATGATGAATTATGTGCATGCTTAAAAATTCTTGCCTATGCATCTACCATCACTGTTATCAGATCGGAAACTTTGATGAGATGAGATATCACTCCTTTGCATAATGGCTCAGTACTGTACAAGTTCTAGGCAAGAAGTATTACGAAACAGGGGGTCTTTGTTATGGATTGCAGGAAGGGTGGAAGATGTGTGAAGGTCTGTGTCCTTAGACTAAAAAGATAGTTAGCCCTTAATTAAAAATCATGAAATACCTTTTCAAAAAACATCAGGTGCAATTATCATATGAGCATGTACTAGTAAAAACCTGAGTATTGGCCATTTTTGTTGTGTTGAAAAAAATGTGTTGCAATCCAAGTAATACATCAAACAAGTTTTGAGCTATGAGTCATTTTATATATATGACACATTTGAACTAATACTACGCCATCAAAAGAAACTTTAATAATATAGAAGAATCTTTAAAATTTAGTTTGGAACTATATATTCAATTATATGTATTCAGATTCTAAATGATATCCATAGTTACATAGTTTTTCGTGAATTTTTATTTTTTGAGTATTGAGGTCGATCATGCTTGTAACCAGTATGGGTACTCAGTTATTGGTTTTGTTTTATGTTTTGTTTTAAGTATCGCTTTGACACTTGGTTTGGTTTTATGTTTTATTTTAAGTATCACTTTGATACTTAGTTTGTTTTTAAGTATCGTTTGATACTTGGTTTTGTTTTATGTTTTGTTTTAAGTATCGCTTTGATACTTGGTTTTGTTTTATGTTTTGTTTTAAGTATCGCTTTGATACTTAAGGAGTTTTACCAAAGTGTATCGATTAATACCTTTGATTAGTTTCGTTCATGCTAGACATGAACAGATTTGTGTATTTAAAGACCGCCTGTTTCTACCATAGAAAAGGCAGACTTCGACAGACAGTATTTCAATATACTTGGTTGAACAGTTACTTCTTTGTTCTCCAGTACACCCTCAAAGCCTCCTTTAGTTCTCAGCTCTCGCCTCCTCTCTGGAAGAGCGGGCCACCTGCCAACTATCGTATCTATTACCGATAATGTGATTAGCACTCTGCGAACACATTACATTTTTTTAACCTCAGCAAGTGGTTAAGAACCTGTCCCTGGATTTAGGCCTGATCAACCTATCAATATCACCTCAGAACGCTAGCAGAGAGAAGCGGCAGAATCACGGCACATTCGGCTTCATCTCAAACCCAAGATAGAGTCTTTGACGACCAGGAGTGGGAAGCAAATGCCACGGCAAGACCTTGCAAGAATGAGACAATCCCGGCGCTCTACTAAAGAGCCGGGCGATCCTGCAAACACTGAAGATACACAACCTCCAGGAGAATTCCCTTCTACTCCAGCAAAGAAGCCTTTCTTTGAACCTCCAATCGACCCCGAATCCAGTAGCGAATCGGATATGGCTAGCATAGGAGGAGGGCCCTCCGCAGGAGGAAAGTCTCGGGCTAGGCCTGAAGAAGAGGAGGTACTCATAGTATTTGAACCTCCTAAGTTTAAACTCCACCTCCCAGCGAAGTTTACAGGAGAAGGAAAAGACCTCAAACCCGAAGCCTTTGACTGATGGGCGACGGAACTCACACACTATCTTCTCCTGCAAGGGAAAAATGTGGAAGACCCTACAACCAGACTATACATTGGATCATTCTGCGAAGGAAAGGCAACTGACGCAT